GGATACAAGTACCTGCTCACCGTCATCGATATATTTTCAAAGTTTGCTTGGGCCGTGCCAACGAAGAGCAAGAATGCTAAGGATGTGATGACAGCTATGAAATCTATACTGCTGCAGGGACGGATACCGAAGAAATTGCAAGTGGACGAAGGTCGTGAATTTTACAATACCGAATTCAAGAATCTAATGCAAAAACATGGTATTGCTATGTACTCGACATTCAGCAACTTGAAGGCATCGATCTGTGAACGTTTCAATCGTACTTTAAAAAATATTATGTGGAAACAATTTAGCCTGCAGGGTGACCATCGTTGGTTAAACATCTTATCAGACCTGCTATCCTCTTACAATGGTAGTAAACATCGAACCACTGGTATGAAACCGATAGACGTCACTGCTAGAAACGAAAAAAAATTACTGCATCGAGTGTACAAGAATTTCAAAATCAAACCCACACTTAGACTTGCAAAATTTAAAGTTGGAGACAAAGTTCGAATAAGCAAATTCAAACACATTTTTGAAAAAGGCTATACACCTAACTGGACAACGGAAATTTTTACGATAAGCCAAGTGGAGAATACCCATCTGGTGACGTACAAACTCAAAGACTACCAGGATCATCCTATCGAAGGTGGCTTTTATCATCCTATCGAAGGCGGATTTTACGAACAGGAACTTACCAGAGTCAAGTACCCCGACATATACCTTGTGGAGAAGGTGTTGAGGAAACGTGGGAATAGACTTTTCGTTAAATGGTTAGGTTTCGATGAATCGCATAATACTTGGATTAATAGGTCGGACTTATAAGGAGTTTGAAATAAAACAAAACTTACAATAATTAATTTTTAAAATGTATAAAAAATTTATTTAAAAGCACATACAAAAAATATTTTTTTTTAATTTTTTTTATGTTTTTTTTTTTTTATATTTCCTCCTCCGATTCGTAGTCAGAGTCCCTGCAAAAATAGATAATAATGATATTACTATTCATGTGTAAATAGAATTGATTAATATACGCACCAATTATAGCCAACTAGCGGGACGCATCCCGAAAAGATATCTTAACGAAAAAATATCCTCTCTAGCCCAATCCTCCTCCTCGAAGAGGAACCAGCCGTTGTATTCACGTTGAGCCCGTCGCTCGCTCCTCTTCGCCACCATATCTTTAATCGAAATGTATCCGTTAAGCTGTTACAATGAAACAACACGTTATATAATAAAACTTTTTTGAAATATTTAGTTAGTGTATTAAGAGAAACTTAGAAGACACAACACTCACGCTCAACATTATTTTACGTCCTCGCACCATGGTTGCGTATACTATTCTAACTCTGAGTCGAGTCGGATGAATCGCTCCAGCTTACCCCCACTTGTAGTTCCTAGAAAAACTAGGATCTAAATGCACACACGAGCGAACGGTCCACTTGACCATTGTATATATTGCACTCAGGACAATAAACACTTGGATGATGCCATCCAGATGATTGGTACGCGTTGAGGTTATGATGAAAAATTCATTTTTTCCTTGCACACGGTTACATATTTTAACATATTTTATAACCCCATGGGAGGGTATCCGTCGTATGAGCAACAATCACTCTCTTATCATCATTCCAACTTAATGCTGTTTTCTTTTGCTCAACAGTATAAACCTCATGCTTTTTGCTTTGAATCAAATTTTGAGGTTTAATCAAATTTTTTCGACACTCGAGACACTGTAGATAATCATCGAAGGTTATGGTCTTTAACGTAGATCCTTTGATTCCTTTCGCACGCTTCCTATCCCTAGTTTCGCCTAAAATTCGAAAACTATACAATTTCGCTCGCAGTCCTACGAACTCCGTCATGATTTTACCATTATTTTCATCCTTCATCAGACCTAGAACTTTCTTATTGACTAATGGTATACCGTATACATTATCCGACGGATAGTCTGAAGTGTCGAATCTGTGTACATCGCGCTTAATTAATTCGTATACGTTGGGAACATTAAAGTGGTATATCAAGCTATCCGTGTCGGTGTACATTAATTTTGCTTGCTCGCCGAAAGTCTTCTTGATGTAGTTATAGTGAAAATCATAAATATATGTTTTAGAGATGTCCAGAATTGAAAATCCTACGTATATAGGTTTATTGAATTTAATTCTGGTACGATTCAATTCGATTATAACCATATTCTCCTCAAAGACGGTGCAACTATGAAAATTCGGTTTTGTTATGAGAGCTTTCGCTCCATACCTCCCATCCCACTTACAATTAGTAATGAGTCTAACGTCTTTTTGCTTCCTAACGTTCTCCATTGTTTTACCAAAAACCGAATTATTCATCAGTTTGTAAAAGTTTTTCTCGAAATCATTTCTAGATTTTTTCCTCATCTCCGTATTTAAATCTATACATTTTTTTAACCATGGAGCTTGATTAAACTTTAAAACTCTAGGAATTTTTGCTAATTTCATGCCTAAACTTAAGCATTGTTTTAAATTCTCATAATGAATGATGTATCTTTTTTTCGGTAGAAGTGTAGTCATTAACTTTCTCCCATTACATCGTGAGAGAGGAGGTACAAAATGCTCGGGGCATAGTGGTAAGTCTTTTTAAACTTCATGAAGCTCCGCGGGGCACTCTAAATCTACTTCAAGTATATGTCCTATAGTGGAATTATTGGGAATCTTACAAATATCCAGTTGTTCGATATTTTGTTCCCATTCGAACGAGTTTAACGGTAGGAAGTGACTCATAGCTGCACCGTACAAGTTATTGACATCATAGTACATGAGGTATGATTCTTCTTTGGTTGGATCGAAATCCGCGCCCATATATCTATTGTTAGCCTTGGCGTATCTGTTAGAACATTGGGCTATGCCGCCACGGATACCTCGCTCGACAAACAATAACATTTCTACATCATCGAGGAGTTCCATTTCAACGCCCGTACAATTGAGCATAGCATCGAAAGCAAGTCCGGGTGCGGTATAATAATGCAAAGGATCTAACTTATACGTAGAGAAGCAGTTGCGTCTAAAATTTTCGAAAATATCAGCCAAAAGTAAAACATCGGTTTTTAGATACAAATCGGAATATTCACCCAAAGTTTTAATATTAAACGTACACCAAACATTACACGCATGCGCATAGTCACTCTCAGAAATTTCCTCGTTATTCAATTGCGAAAAAAAAATTTCTTTCGATGGTAATTGCGTCTCTTCGAGTTTTTCCCAACAATCAACATAGTCGTATGGAAATACACCTTTCCTCGTTAACAGTTTAAATTTCTCCGCATTGTCACAATGTTTATGTGTAATGATTTTCTCGGAATCATTAAGATAGGAGGATAATTTTTCAATGCTGCTCGCCATAAATCTGAATGAATCGATGAATCGAAAATTTATAATTGTATCTTTAATGTTCTTTGTAAACGATATATATCTTTCTTTGTTGACCGGTAAAAGATTTACGGAACCTTCGAAGGAAGTAGCTAGAGCCTTAATCAGAAAGTGCGAATCGTAGCCAGACAGGTTGTGAAAAACTATGGGAATAGTATGTGAGTTTTTATAATTCAAATTGCAACCGGGATGCGCCGCACCGCGATACTTGCCTGTAAAATGACAATGATCGTGATGCTTGACATCTTGCAATGTGAATGGTTTCTCACAAATATGACAGATCTTTGCGGAATTAAATTGTTGCGTCTGTTCGAGACTCAGTGGTTCCATGGGTACAATACGTTTATGATAAATTTCTAAAGATCGTGCTAATTCCTGCAGTTCATCCATAAACCACTCGATACAATTATTTCCACGATTACTTTTGAATTTGGATAAAGACTCGTCGAAGGCGCACTTGAGGTAATATGCGATACTGTGTGGAACATGATTTTGGTACAGTATCGTGTTTGATGCTTTGGACGCATTTACAACTGGTTTCAACATACATTCGATATCAGCATAAATGACAAACGGTACACTTTCTTGATACTTGTAATTTTTGAACTTCAGCAATTTTTCCTCATCATTTGGCAAAATCACTCTACACTTATTTATAATCGCACAATCGAGTTTATGTTTTTCGAAAGAGTTTTCAGTTTGAAAATGGCACAAGCATCTATCGCACAGTCTAATATGACCGTTATGTTTTGAAATTTGAGAACTTAGCAGTCGAGATAAATTTCGGATCCATGCAAAATGGTAAATTCCACTTTTTGACAAAAATTCCATGTTCAAATTATCATCATCATCACTTTCCACGTCATTTTCACTTTGCACCATCAGAACATGAATTGGAGATTTATTTTTCGGATGTGCAGCCATAAGCTGGACTTCCGAAAAGTGATTATTGTGCGATTTTTTAGATTTCCACATATTGGTTGCCAGGCCGCCTTTAGTACTGACTTAGCGCATTGCTACACGCGTGAACTACTTGGCCTGGCGTTTGTCAATGGGGTCAGGAGACTCCCAGCACAACATTCTCTCCTTGAAGGCTGATTCCAAGTCATCCCAACGTACTCTGTCACTTCTTCTCTCTTACAGTTCCTTCACCTCTTTTTTGAAGATGCTGTTTAAATTTTTCATTCAACGATTTTAGTATTCCAATGGTTGTCAAGATTTTGGTTTTCTCCCCGTTCGTAAGTGCAACATTCCTCAGAATTTTGTTCAGAAGTCGAATATTTTGAGTACCAAACTTTGTCCACTTTGTAATTTCCACAATCGATGATTCTTTCTTGAGCAGTTTATATGCTTCTTCCATAATCTTAATCAATTTCTTACACTTTGCAGAATCCATTTTTCCCTCGTTAAAAACGTTTACAATAAAGTACACTCGATGAGGTTTGAACGTCAATGATTGGTCTACATGACGAGCGGTCTTTTATACGTCTAATGCATGAGCTCCCCTCATCATTACCTATTTTAGGTATAACAATAATAATATTAAAAGCGGTGCGAAAACTTGTGCATTAAAATCGACAACGGTTCTAATTGTCTATCCCTTCATTAATGTGCTCGTGTGTGTGTGTATGTGTGTGTGTGTCATTCCAAGAACATTATTCAGCTCGGCGGTGATATAAACAAATCGTCGGTAGCTCCTAACCATCAAAGACACATGCCGAACACCAAATCTAGCCTTTGTGTAACCCTATATTTTTTCCGGCTCGACAAAACCGTTGACCATCTAGCCCGAGATAATGTTAATCATACGTAGAAGGACTTCACGCTTTATTCATTAGCCTAAAGATTGGCACTCTATAAGAAGTATGGTGAGATTGCAGTTCACTTGACATTTTATTACCATTGGAGTACGAAGTGCGAACAGTCAGTCGATCAAGTGCAAAACGGGTACACACAATTTTTACGTAAGTTCACTTTATCTTGGATATTGCATAAGTGAAGTGCAAAATTTAAAATGGTTGAAATATGTTAACGTTAACATAAATTAAAAAATTGATTGTCAATTAATTATAGAATGGAATATAGACGAGGAATCAGAAATATTAGAATTTTCATCCCAATTGAATGGATACAAAGGGCTTCCGACGCCGCTATTAAGGAGGCTGTAGCCGTAGGGCTACTAATGTACCGACCTGAGATTCGTAATAACCTCACTGTGTTTGCAGAATTAGTGGGAGTTACAACTAAACTCGTTGTAAGAAATAACAACGAGTATTGGTTCCTGCGATTAAGTGATGTGAATGGTACGTATAAAAAAAAAACATTTGTTTCTTATTTCAAAAGTATTAGAAAAATCAATCTATATATATTGTAACGTAATTTTCTTTAACTTGACCCGACACCGATAGCAAGACATACGGGAACGACTATCTTCGAGAACCAACCTACGTTACCTTCGGCCGTCCACCCGTCGTCCGTGTATCAGCAAGCCAGGCGGACGCCAGTCAATTCTTTTTTCACCGGGAACTGACGAGCCGGTATAAACTG